CAGTTTTCAAAATTTCATTATACGTGGTGGCCTTACCACTCCAGATCGTCTTATTTGTGGGGAAAATTTGAAACACCTTGCGGATCGGAGCACCGTTGTACAGAAAAAGTTGTTCATTATCACGTGTGGAATCACTACAATGATATCACGAGTAGTTATTTTACTCTGTGATTTTTTAGCATTCTACAACTTGGTTTAAACAGTAGCATGCTCTGCCACTAAGACAATAGTCTTAACATTGGAAAGGTATGTCCAATGTTAAGTCTGCAAGCGTATTTTACACAACAAACTTCTCAGACCAGTTACTTTAGTACCGAGGGAAGTACGTTAAGTCTGTCTGTCTGTTACCCTATAATTCAATGTATTTAAATATCACAAACAACCTTAACCTTTATAACTAATGTATCTATGCCACGGGACACCTCTAAGCTTTAATAAACACAAGTTCCATGATGAAATGCCATGATTTTCATATTTAAAGTGGTTACATACGGTGACTTCTAGCAGCGATGCAAACGCGCGATTGCTTCGCTACACTTGCGATTCATAGGCGATTGTGTCGACGGAGTAGACTAAGGTAGACTTATTAGAGACTGCATCTGCACGTGGTAGTGCGGGGAACATACTTGAATATAGAAACATTATAATATGTATATATACAGTGCTTAGGTTTTTGCAATTTCTGCATAATGGAAATGAAACAATTGATGCAGAGCCAAAAATCGCTTAGGTATATTTTGCTTTTTCAAGCCTATCGAATGATGTTTATACCAAGACTAACGTTCGAATCACCTGATGTCTCAAATAGAGTTGTTCAAAATGCAACGGTAGCAACATAAGAAGTAACTACTATAACAACTTTGAGTAGTTAGCATCTGAATGGCTAAATTACTTGATCTTGACGAATAATAATCACTCCATATACAAGCTTTTTATGATATCAAATGCAGGGACGAACGAGTCATGCAGCAGTTGGCAAACGACACGCCTGTAGATAGCATTTTCAGTGAAACTCCTAGCTTTAAATCGCAAAGATATTTATCTGCTTCGTAAAAAGGGATGTCTTCCAATCCAATATCTTCGATGTCTTTTTATTTGAGTAAACAAAAACCAAATAGACCGTATAACTACAGCGTCCTGAATGAGTTCTGTATTATTAACCATTCTCGTCAAAGAAGGATCTCGGCTACATATACAATCACTTTGGCGATCAACTGCGAAGCACTTTAAGTGACGTGGGGCCGCTAGACCGCTGCCCCCGAGCAGATTAAACCACGCGTTGACGCAGATCTGCGTCTCCGCCACCGTACGCGTGATTCCGCGTCCCGCGCTCCGTTGCGGGGCGCGTTGCAGTGTGTTAATCGCCTAAGATATATGTTGGCCAGTTCCATGTGCCTGTTATTTCACCAGCATTCTTACCTTTCAAAACCGAAACGCAGTAATATTAACAATAATAATAAATTCTTAGGCATTACAAAAATAAAACATTTTGAGTAGGTACCCCTTAAAATAAATACTAACGTTACATAAAATAGAACAAATTATGCTCACATGTTACTGCTTGGCGCCAGAAATAGGGAAGGTGGCAGTACTTCCCCGGACGAACTCTTTCACAAGGAGCACGACAGCTTCAAAAACTTAATTAGGTTTGGCATGTCAATATGTACCTATGGTGATGTAAAAGATATTTTTGTTCAAAGCCTTAACTGTAACAACAACAGCATACTTATCTTACTAAATAACATTTTTGCAATAGTGCAGCCAGTTTGTAACGTTGTCGCAATGCTCGGTAACGAGTCTCTAACAACTTTATTAGCATGTGAATGAGGCTCATAATTTCTGACCAAGTTTGCTCTTTGAGATGTTTGAGTAACAGGGCTATGGTTTGTGACTTTGTATGACTGTAAGCATAATGTAAGTTATCAATTGAAAGATTACCTTTAATAAGAATTACGTAAAATAAAACTATAATAAGTGTTACATAAAAACACAAATACTGAAAATCACGGTTGCAATGAAAATTTAGGAAATAAATTTATATAAATCACATTAACGTCACTGTCTGTGTCTTTTAAACAATTTCTATTTCATACACAAATAGTTGTTTGTACTTTTTTAATTTGCCTATATAAATATTTGTCTAGAATAGACTCTGAACAGGATTTTGAATCTTCGAAGATCATGAGGGTGTCTCTAATCAGAATCAATTTATAGTTTCCTTTCGATACTTTAATATTTTAATTTAAAAGTTATTACACGTCCTGTGATAAATTCTTTTGCTCTATTATTCTCAAGCATGTTTTTTTTGCTACTGAAAGTAACATTAACAACAATAATAACTATGTATTATTATTATTATTATTTCGAAACAAAGACTGGAACAACTTATATGACATGAGAATATCAACCTGAAACTTTGTGTTTTCACACAATCAAATATGTATTTATTTATAACAGAGAATTTTCCGTATAAATACATTTGTTCTGTATTTTATTATTTACATTGTATCTGTACAGATCTCTGTCTACTACCACATAGACCGATTATCTAACCGAAGGTATCTAAGAAAAACAGAAGATTTGACATAATTAACTCTCCAAAGATATACTGAAAGTCCAGGAAGTCTCAAAATAAACATCTATTTTGTAAGGTAAATATGCGACTTGGTAGAACAAAATGGTAGGTAAAGGAACTGTGGACAGAAGACGTCTTGTATCATTTGTGTGAAAATAAACATTTATGCTAATTGAAGAAAGTGCTTGTCACAATAGTGTTAACTTGTTTAGATAAGAAGCAATTGTGAGGAAAGTTTCAACAGATGTGCTATTACTTACTTGAGACGACGATTAAGTTTTAATTTCACTTAAAAGCTTCGCTAAAGTTTTGAGCAAAACTTTACCAAAGCTAAGTTGTACAACAAATTAATGAACAAATGCGAGATAACAAATGGAGTTCAATGTTGAACGGATTCGCCAATTCCAATGTTCAATACTTCAATATCCCTTGTGCCGAATCGACAATTCCCTTCACAGACATCATTTCGGAATTCAACATATTCCTTACTTTTCATCTTTACCTTTTATTCCATTTTTTTTTTGAGAATTTGAAGAACTACGTACTACAGAAATATGTTGATTTCTATTCTAGTACTTTCTTGTAAAAAAATCATTTTCTCTGAGACGACATTGGTAGATTTTTTAAACCACTGCCAAAACACTTAAAAACGATTGTAATCTTTGTTTGTATATTATGTAATATTCGTTCGTTTGTATGTGTATTATATATATATTTTTGTAGGTGTGTACAAAAAGTGTGTAGGTTGAACATGCAAAATAAAAGAAATAGAACGAATACATACACGTGTGTTATCAACAATGTATGTAATCTGATATTCTACACAATTCCTAAAACAGTTAGTCAATGTATGATGTAAAATATTGTATGCATGTCCACGTGTGAAAATAGTTTATATCGTAAGAACAAGTAGATAATATAAATAAAAATAAATAGAAGAATTGGTGGTTAAATTACAGACGATATTTGTTCCATGAAATCTTATAGGTATAATATAATATAAATAAACTTATTTGTTGGTTCAAAGTATAGAATTGAATATTTACCTTTTGTTCAAAAAGCGGTATCCATAATAATTTTTTTTGTTTTATGTTTTCGACCCACCGGAAACGCAAACAAATTCGGTACTAGCATTTGCCTGCCGCTGCCGCGGTACGCTCGCTTCACTCGCTCGGCTCATGCAGGCTTTTCTACTAACTTAATTTAAACCCGCAAGAGGGTGTCGGACCAGCTCACAACGCAAACAAAAATGATTAGTTTGATAATTTTGTCTTTCATTTAATGGTTAACCAAATCTACGGATGGCATTCTATGCAATACCTAGACTACACAATGTCCAGGCAATGTGTATAATAGCTAAAAATTATTGAATACTATTTCACATTCTATTTTACGTTCTATTTCTATACAATACCGGCCTTCTTGAGGCTACATTGAAAGAAGAACCATGGCATTGTATAGACTGTCGAGGTATTCTATACAGTCGCTTAATTATATACATTGCCGTTAACATATACAATCTGTAGCAACCAAGTATGATTACAAAAGCAAAATTTTCTTATTACTTAATCGAAAAAGCAGCGCTCCACTTTCACCATAACATAAATTTCCGACCCTGATTTACTGGTCTGTAATTCCCCCAGTTCCCATAATTCTGTCATCTTCACAAGTTTTTATAGTTTGCCTCACAAATGATGTAAACGGCTTAGATGAATGTGTGGGAATATCTGCTGAATTAGGTTGTCCCACGATATTATATAAAATACGACTTTTCTTTATTACCTATATCTTAATCTGCTTGTTTTGAGAAGTAATAACAAGTAATTGGCGCGGAGGGAATAACAAGTGAAGGAGTTAATTTAGTTAAACGAAAAAATAACGTGGATGTTCCCTTCTGCAATTCCCGGGACTTTTCGGAACCGATTGTATTTGAATATGCGTATTATTTATTGAAATTTGAGAACATTGACGACAAATTACTATTTACTCACAAGTATATGTTACAAAATATTAGATAAAAAATAATATTGTAGTTGTATAGGTACTTACGTACATAAATACGTTAGCCATTTAAAAAATAAATATGAGACAACGTATATTTTGGAGTGTTTAGACAATAAACAGTAAAAAACGAACTTCTATACGCATTGATGACGAAATGGATATGTCCATACTAAGAAAACGTTCATGCTTTAGGTAGACTAACTCCGATCAGAGTAGAGTAGAGTCAATTCCGATCACTGCTAATTACTCCTTACTGCAGCTTTTGTTAAATACAATTATAGTAAAATCTGAATAAAACACTAATGCGAAAATGGCTTAAATCGTCTGGCGTGAGAGACCAATGTTTTCGTTAATCAATAATATAAGCTAACGTTAAATCCGTGAAGTTACTAAATATTAATTTCATGCTCGTTGGTTACAGATGGCGCGCCACGCACTGGCCTGCCTCTTCATCATCGTGGCAGTAGCAGCAAAAGAGCAGTCGCGGTGGTCAAGACAAATCAGCTCCTATACTTCAGACATAAGCGACTGGGTTCCTCTTCCCGGACCCGTTGAAAGAGAAATTCCTCGCCAACCTCAACTCAAAAGACAAGCTATCGCCGAACCAAGAATACTCGCCGAACCTGTTTTTCCAGGATTCACGAGACCTACTGGCTTCAGTCAAGATTTCCCTTCAAGAACATACTTTAACGCACCGACGAACAGGCAACTGTATCTCCAATCAGTACCCGCTGTTCCCTCTGCGCCACAGAATTATCTAACAGATCAAGGATTCCGATTCGGTCTGTCTCAACCAAACTTTCCTCTGAACCAAGGATTTATCGGACCACAATTTCCATTTGACACTATCCCTATGAAACAGAGACCACCAATTATATCCAACCCAATTGCTTTTCCGAAATCAAACTTGCCATCTCCACAAGCCAGACCATTCCCGATTCAAGTGCAAAAGAAACCTGAGTCACCAAAGCTTATCGATGGATACAGAGTTGAGAACATCAGTGTCACCTCAGCAAAGAAACCTCAATCCCTGCAAAAATTGAAATATGAAACTTTCGACAAATTTCCAAAAACGGAAATGGTTCCTCCAAAACCTAAAACCGAACGAGAAGAAGTACAATTACTGTACGTACCTCTAGAATCTTTAAATAGAGGCCAATTCAACTTTAGGTATCCGATATCGCACATGATGAACACAGAAAAAAATAATCAAGCCGCACAGAGACAGAATTTGCCTAAGCAAACATTTTTGACTGATTTCCAGAAGCCTAGTCAAAGCCAGAGTGTGGAATCTTTTGATCCGGATTATTTCACTAATTTCAACTCACAATTTGGTGCACAATTAGATCAAACTAAATTTTCAACTATCTCAGCGCCTTTTCTAAAACCCACGACTACACCGAAACCTAAAAAACTGAAGCCTCACCAACCACCATTGGCTATCTTCATGACGCAAGAAGCAAAGAAAGGTGATCAAGTCAAAGTTGGCGACGTACTCACATCATTGAAGAACGCTGAAACTATAGCCGTCCTTGACTCAGTAAATCCTCAGACAGCTCCCAAAGTATTCATTGGGCCTTCAAATCTAAGCCCACCCGAAACCTTTGTGAAGTTTGAACTTCCCTATTTATCCAACATTGAGCACAATGATAAGAAACTGAGATCTTTGCCGTTCTTTGTTGCACCTTTGAGCTACAAAACTCCTCAAGGCTTCGCAAAGATACCCTTTCCATCACCTCACGTTGGTTCAGTCATCATTAATGCTCAGATAAAGGACTCGACTTCAACGATTGCAACTCCTGCGGCTGATGTCATTCCAAATTCATACTCGTCGCCACAACCTAGGCCTGTATTGCAAGCCATTGCTCCCGTCGTCACAGAAAAGCCAAGCTATACTTTTTACAGCACTACTCCACCAAAAACAAATGCGCCTGTTAATCATGATGCAAACTATTACACCTTCGAACCTCAAACTGTAAGCACCCTGAGACCACCGAAGGAACCGCAAGCAAGCCTCAACCCTGCACCTCAAAGAAATTCTTACTTCTTGAACAACGATGACACTACACATTTTCCCGCCCCTCACATCCGGTTCGAGCCCAAAGATAGCATCAGGCCTCCATCAGCACCTGTCAAAGCTTTTAATATTGAGAAACAAACGACGCCTACTACTTCTAGAACTACTCTGTCTTCAACCACTAGTAAACCTTCTACATATCCAAGCCAGTTGTTAGAGACTCACAACCCTTACTCTATCAATCAAGCTTTCCATTTTAGCACTCCATTAGACTACCACAACTTATTCGAAGAAAACTATCCAGCTCGAGGAATTGCTCCTCAAAATTTGCGCCCACCTTTCTCTCCTCAAACCACTAAAATAAACCCAAGTACAACTGCGAAATCAATAGATCCAGTTACTGAACAGCATAATTATCAAACGCCTAGATATGTGCAAAATTATTCACCTGAAATTCATTACGAATCTGAGGTTCAAAACTCAAGATATCCTCAAAATGAATACACAACAAAGCCTGCAGTAACTTTTGACTACAGACAGCCCGCCAACCCAATTGATGATACGCAACAATCGACTAGCAGTGTAAATCCAACTGAATACACTAATGTTGATACTCAAACAATTATTAACGAGAACGTTGATTATGCTTTTAATAAACAGATTGAATCTTCATCCAATTCGCCATATACATACGATCAATACGAAACAAACGGTAGTGAAGAAAAGCAAACTAGCCCTTCCACAAGCACGACCACTACATCCACTACAACTCGAAGAACTCCAATTAGAAATAGAGGTCGACCGCGATATACCACTACACCTAGAGCTGAATCTGGCGAACTGTTTACTAAATCCATTGTAACTCGTCGACCTCTTAGAGAACGCAGGCCTTTACCTACCCGCCCAAAATTCGAACACAACAAGATAACTTCCGAAAGATCTACAAGGAAACCAGTCGAATCTAATGAAAGTACTACTAAGTACTCAAGAGGCAGAACACGCGGAAGAATCCACTACAAACCTTCTGACAGCGACGATTATTATGGCAAAGCAAATAAGCACACTAGCAGCAAGGAAAACGACTTAGCTTACCAAAGAGACATACTTCATCAGAACTATCCTGTTACTCTAATGGAACGTGCCAGTACCGTTGACATCGAAGCCATAACTGAACCAGCGCCCAGAATTTCCTCTACTAGAAACTTAGATACTACTACGGAGGTTTATGACACTGAAAACGCTGATAGCAATGATAACAGAGCAATAAGCCAACACCTACCAAACACGGCATCAAAGGAAGAAACACAGACTTACACTAATAAAGCTGAGTTTCAAACTGAAGAGACCATAGTACCTAAAGTGCCATCTACTCACGCCGACTACACGTTCCAATCTAGAAGCAGTATAGCCCCATTCGATGCTATTACTTTTTACGATGACATCGCGGGGAAGGAAGATGACATATATGTTAAATCAACTACATCATCTAAAACAGAAAGCCCCGAAGTCACTTATTATGCGACGGAAACTTTCCATGCTGATGCTGAAGAAGCTTTGAATTTCCCAAGTTACTCTATCAACAACAATTACTCTAAAGAAGAAAAACATGAAGAAACAACGACACCTGCAGTTGAAATCACAAAAATTACACAAGACACACAATCCGTTAGCCAAAACGCCGAACCTGAAGAAAATGTGGTCCAGACAACACCTTCCTATAATAGAGTGCGAGTCCGCCCTGGACTGATTCGACAATACCATCAGGCGTCTACAGAAAGTACGAGGACAAAGGCAGACAGAAAAAGACCGATCCAGGCAATTACTTACAGGCCGGCATTCAACAACCGCAGAACGACTATGAGGATTGAAGAAATCGAAGCCGACTTAAAAACTAAACAAGTGCATGCTCGTCCAGAGGTGCAAGATTACAGACACCCGGTGTACAGGCCTGAGCCGACAACTGAACCCGCAGTGACATCGGGATTGACTCAAGAAACTACTACAAAACGTGGCGTCTTCCGTCGTAGACGACCGACCTACACAACCACAACAACTTCCACCGAAGCCTCTTCTAGCACAAAGAAAACTGTATACGAAATCAAGAGTAGATTCCGAGGACGAAGACCAACAGAAAAGACTTCCGAAAAGCCTGAAGTTCATACGGAAGCAACACAGCCCACGTCTACTACTATCAGGAGTACACATTATAATCGGTATAGCAATAGACAACGACTTTCTGAAAGATACAATAAGAAATCTGAGTCTGAAAGTTCAGATGACCAGGATTCAAATTACTCTATCCTCAGACCAAAATACGCTGAACCTGAGTCTGACCATTGGTCCCCTAAAATTTCGAGCGACTCTTTCAAACCTTATAACCCTAATGACATCATTGATGTCGAAAAAGCGGCTACTACTGAACGCAGATCTGATCTTGACGACGATATAATTACAGCGAGAAACGATTATGACGATATTTTGGTTTCTGTCACCCCTGCGTCTAACACCAGAGGCACGAAAAGGATACCTGATATTCCTCCCACTTTGAAAGCTTTCGTCGAACAGAGCAAAATTACTAAGAATGATTCCAGTGATGGTAGGTCTACTTTTGAAACAATGCTTGAAGAGGTGATGAAAACTTTGGAAGAACAAGATGAAGACGAGTATTCAACGAATGTAATGAAACATAAAGGTGGTGAGATTGGGGAAATTCCTCCAGAGAGGATAATTTCTTCCGGAGACAACTATAAGAGCACTACGGTCGAACAAGACGAAACCACTACTGCACAACCCGTTCAAGAAGAAACCACTATACCTAAGGTAAGATTGCGGACCAATATTTTACAAAAAACGTTAATCAACTCCAAGGGCAGTCAGGTACAAAAAAATAAAGTTACGTCTTCATCGCGATGTCTACAATTCTACATTACAAACTACAATGGACACTAAAATATACTGTAAATATACCTGTCAGGTTTTATAAATTCTAAGGGACCGGTTTAGATATTTTACTAAACGGCGCCATTTAACTAAGGGCATAAGTCACATTTAAGCAATATATATTTAAATAACAGTTAAACATTATATATTATACACAACATTATTAATTTGATGTTGTTGTGATAAGAAAACAGTTTTATCAAAAAAATTTTTTTTGAAAATTTGTGCTGCAGACAGTTCGGTGACGGTTATAATATCTCACTGGACACTTTCATGCTCCTGTTTTTTCGTGGAAAATTGATTAAACATTGAGAAGAACATCATAACAAATCGCTGATTATTGAATCTGTGTCCTCTTTTCATACACCAAACGGTAATAAAAATTATAGAATTGAAGTAAAGGTGCAATTTGACCAGACATCATAAAACGAGTCGACGCGCGATTAGATTTACTTAGAAGTCTGATTAAGTATCTGAACCGGCATCGATTCAGAACCGTACAATAAGTCTGGTGTCGGCCGATTTCTTTTCATTTTTATTCACAACACCCGAATCGAACGTCAACCGTCGTGTTCGAGTAATCGTAAGCGATTACTCGAACTGCTCGACCGGCAAAGGCTACAAACGTTATTCAGAACACACTTATCGAATGAGTTACCGAACGTCCTATTGTTTACAAAGCAAGAATGTAATATGGAAATTCATGGTAATCTCTTATTTTTTAAATAAAGTCTAGATTTTGTTCAATTTTGCTGATTTATTTTAATGCAAGATTAATGCATTCTTATATTTTAGGTCTTTAAACTCTTAAAAATGAATATAAAAGTATTTTCATTTTTCTTGTAATCTATTTCACCGACTAACTAGATATCGTATCCGAATCGGAATCTAACGTTTAACTCGGAATGTTCTAAATAGCTGGGAAAGCGCTCTTCGATTCGAGAACGATATTCAATCGGACGATTTGGTTAAAATATCGAAGAGTTCTCCTGACACAGAATCGGTGTCCTGAATCGCTAGTAATAAATGGTGCCGGTTAGCAAGAACCTAATTATACTACTTAGCTGCGACATCAAGGTGTGCCTACATTTAATATTATATGTTATTTTTATATTTCCAGGATGAGGAGGAGAACAAAAGCCGTCGTCGCGGTTTCTGGAAGAAGGTGAAAGTTCGTCCCGTCACAGAGTCCATCGAAACAGCTGAGTCTCAGTACTACCCGAACTCTGCAAATCGACTCAGTCACACAGTCACTTTAACCAAAACCGTACACGACAAAAACGGCAAATACGGTAAACCTAAAGTGACCACCTACAAACCGACTTACCAAATACTCCATGACGTTTTTGATATTGAAAATGAAGAAGAACTAGATATGTTGTCAACTGTGGACATTCCCAAAATTACCAACAAACCTGATGAATTATCAGAAGTTGTTAACAGAGTATTACAAGAATCGACCGAGTCTATCGTGCAAGAGACTACGGAACCAAGTGACTATCCTGGTGACATGGATTTAGGTACGGGTACGCCTGACCCTAATTTAGATACAATCTATGTTACAACTCCTGAGCCTGTGACTACTAGCGAATCTAGTTACAGTCTTTTAGAAAGAGCTGATGGGTTCAGCTTAATGGATTATCTATTTGGGTCTGATGATCTTGAGCACAAAGAATCAAAAAAAGATACAAAAAAGGCTGAGAAGGAAAAACTACAAGAAAACAAAGAAAAGGTAAAAGTTGAAATAACTACGGAACAACCAAAACCTAAACTAGCTACTACGGAAAGCACATATATTCCGGAAGAACTTACAGCACTACCTTCAGAGGAAGATAAGACAGAAAGTGTTACGGAAAAAGACTTAAAAAAACTGAATGCTGAAATTTATAAATTAGAGAAAATCGTTAATAGTACAGAGAAACCCACAAATGTTGAATCTTCCTCTGTATCCAGCTTTATGGACCCTGATAACATTGTTAGTACATCAATGTCCACAGAAATATCACACGAAACAGAAATTTGCTTTAGAGGAAAATGCATCAAAACTAGCAAAGATATTTTATAAATATCAGGATATATGAAACGTAAAATATGGTGCTAAAGACTTATGTTCAAATAGTGGAATAAACTTTCGAAAGTGAAATTTTATGTGAGGACTTTAGAACTTATAATAGGTGTCTCAAATAATTTAACCTTCGCCTATATTTGAGTCAACTATAATAAATAAATTAATTATTTATTAAGTTTTATGATGAAATCTTGTAAATGGCGCAAACTCTTTACTTGATTTCACCAAATCTAATTTTATTTTACATAACATTACTATATAATTTATAAGTACTTAATAAACTTTTAAGGTTTGTGGCCACATACGTTAAAAGACATTATTATATATAAATAATTGTATTAATTAAGTAATTGCGTAGCAAAATAATAATTTTTTTTTATACCTTACCTAACTATATACTTTTTGTATTATAAATATTTCGACTGAAAATATTTTTGTAATCAATAAATATTTTAGGCTATTTTTTTTACTTTTATACACTATTTATTTCTTTTGACTGTTTTGAAATTCTTATAACGCACTATTGGGCATTTTTGTTGTGAAACAATTTTTTAATTTTTACACCACCCAAAGCGAAATTCACACGTACTCTACATTGTGATTCATACGGGTGCGTTAACTTAATTCACCTAGGTGCATTAAGTACACTTTTAGTAAACTTAAATCACCTGAATATACCAACTACACATAATATCTACGTAACTTTTGTATTATGAAAGTGAAATAAAAAATATTAATAATGTAATTTCGATTTTACTTTTACCCCTACACCCACTTCGTTATTCTATTCTATGAAACAATAAAACGCGTTTCTGGACAAAATATCTATAGGCTCTGGACATACGCGGGAAAACTCGGAGGGAAAAGTGTCGTTTTTATTTTGACTTTCAATTATTTTGTGAAATCTAGTTTATAGTGGAATAGAATAGTGCTACTGTGCTTTAATCGAATATTAAAACGCGAAATTATACGAATCTCGAACTAAAATACCCGCATCGGCCCGTTCTAAGGAATCCCGACTCAATCTAAGCACGCCGCCTCAAATTGCCTATCTTTTTTGTGGCGGCCATATTTACAGAAACACAATTAAACTTCATGTTTAGGCTGATGGCTTTGCCAAAGCCTTAATAAATTTAAAAAAAAACATTGTCTGTCACTGTCAATTAATAGACTTAACGGATTCGCTCTGGACCTTTTGGAGGGAAAAGTGTCGTTTTTATTTTGACTTTTAATTATTTTGTGAAATCTAGTTTAAAGTGGAATAGGATAGTGCTATTGTGCCTTAATCGAAGATTAAAACGCGAAATTATACGAATGTCGAACTAAAATACCCGTATCGGCCCGTTCTAAGGAATCCCGAGTCAATCCAAGCACGCCGCCTCAAATTGCCTATCCTCTTTGTGGCGGCCATATTTACAGAAACATAATTCAACTTCATGTACCAAAAAAGAATAATGTACCAAGACTTGGCTGTATGGTGTAAAACCATTGCCTTTTCCTTTATGGAAAGAAGAAAGAAAAATAGACTTAACGAGCACAAATTAGAAAAATATAATACGCTCACGAAAACACGGATTGTTGTCGAGTCCTTTTGAGTGTGTTCTAACAAAATTGTGTTTGAAACCAAATGCCAACTCGCTATAAGTAGTTTCCTTTTATACTATGAATAGAACTTCATAAACTTATCATCAAATAATAAACGGAGCCAGTAGAAACTAAGCGTAGGTACCCGTATCAAAATAATCTGTGTATTCCGCTGACTTTTTTTTATCCAGCAATAGTCCGGAATATTATGTTGTAACGCTGAATTCAGTATAATTACGGTAACCAACACAGAAATGGACATTGAAACAAAGATAAAAGAGGATATGCGTTCTCTAGGCTGTGATTCTGATACAAAGGTATCTTTAGCGTATTTCCTATACATACATTTAGTGGACGAAAAACTCATGTATGACACTGAGTACTGTTACAACAAGGATATAGATACCTTGTACATAATGGCCAGGCCGAGTAAGAATGAAAAAATTAACATCTACGTACCTGTAATGACTTCAGAAGACATAAGTATGGATTTTATTAATAAATTACAAGAAAACTTGTGTACTGTGGAGACAGGCCCAAGTGTTAACTTAGCTTTCATAGAAGGTGACTCAACTACAGTAATTTATACATTTACTAAAGATCTAGTTGAACGGCCAGCTGCTGAAAAGGTTGTGGAACAAAAACGAAGAGATGAACGGAGAAGTTTTATTAACAGTGAATTAAAGAAAAATAAAAATACTATTTTAAATACTGCTCTGAATGGCGGTTATGTGGATGATGATGATTGTGAAGTTTTAAGCTGAAATAATAAAAAGTAATCTTGAGTTTAAAAGTTGTGAAAATATGTCATTCCAGCCCTGTAATTTAACCAAATATTATAAAAAATAATGTGCTACCTATTATGTTAGTAAATTCAGGAGCTCGTTAACTGGTGAAATTACAGGCACATGGGACTTGTGAACTTATGTTCAGGGTGACAGGCGCAGTGGCACTGCGCCTCAGATCTTCGCGGTTTAAAGATCTGAGTGGCACTGGAACCATTATAAATATGCATGTAGCTTACCATCAGGTGCACAACTTGTTCGTCCTGTTACTTAATATTATTGACAAAAAACTCGGTGTTAGCATACATAAACTAAAATGTAAAAATCAGTCTCATAAAAATAAAAAACTTTGCTATGTGTGCATTATGTAACAGTTGTAAACATTCTTTTGATAAGTTTTGTCAACTTTTTAACAATCTACCACAAATATTGAGTTCTTAGGTTTTCGCAATTGTTACACCTAGGAAATGAAACTATTATTGAAATAAAAAATGAAAAATAAGGTATTTAATTAATAACTATTGTAACTATAGTGAAAAAAATAGGGTGGTTTGCATTAATATTAGACATAACTGTTTGATGACTGTACCACCTCAGTCAACCGTGATGAAAGGGCCCAAAACATCGCTTTAAAACCAATATATTTTATAAAGAAAATATGAGAAAAGTTCTACATTTTGTTATTTATTTGGGACAACAACAGCTTATTTTTACTAGATTACATTAAAATGATATAAAACAGAACAAAACCAATATAGTTATCCTCTAACTACATGTGAGAGCGAAATGCACTTATGACTGATTGAACTGTGCACAAACTAGTACACTAGACAATAAATAATCTCAGTACTGAGTACTAAAAAAACAGACCTCAAAAGTCATTCATACCCTAGTTTGCCACCCTTCGAGGTGGAATGTTTTCTTCAAATTTAAATGGGACCACTACTGAGAATCCTCTTTGCAACAAAAAAGAATCATCAAAATTGGTTCTCAAAAAGCAGTCAAATTGAAAACCTCCGCCTTTTTTGAAGTCATTCAAAAAACTAGATGATATAGTGTATTAACTCAAAAAGTGTATTTTTTCAGAATTGCTGAAAAACGAATTACTCACTTCCAGCGAAATATTAAAATTTATGTACAGGTTAAAGTTTATTTATTACAAACATCTCAACAATTTGGTACTTGCCAAATAACTTAATATTTTTTAGAAACTTATTTATTAAGACTGTTTTATCCAGAACTAGTTCGCAAAAAATGTGTCTCATTTTGAGTTAAATAGATTTATTTTAATTGTGTCTTACACTATCGTTATTAACGACGGTCGTATTGATGTGTAGAGAATCAAATTTAACGTTCAACAATAGTATAATCTTGAATTTCACACAATTTGAGATACAACACTATTGTAATAGCAGTGCGATATTTGTATGTCATTTGCATACAATTTAATTTCAAAGTGACAGGACAACACTGTGGCTTTAAACTTGAATAGGTAATGTTAAAGTAACTTAAAGCAATTTTGGGATAATACTATGATAGTTGTCATGTGCAATATGTACATACATAAACATACATATTAAGTATAACAAAGATTCTCCTAATACATATGATTATGATTAAATTTAACAGTTAGCTCCAGAATGCGTTTAATAATATGGAGTATGATTTTGGATTGAAATTAGTGTTTTTTATCTACATCGTTAAAATACGGATCTACTTCATTAAAATTATTGTTGTAGCTACTGTCTAATCTGGTGAGCAAAGCATTCTTGCCATAATTTGTAGAATGAAACGATAAAGTTTTAGTCGGTTCACCCCTTTCAAAACTTGTAAGGGTGTTTTACTGTCCACACTGGAATAATCTTATTATAGGGCTGTAAAACACGCTTGATAACTTTTGTATGGCGGCGGACCAACTAAATCTAGTTTTTTGCGACTAGAACCGATTAATTGGCGACTTTTTACCTGACTAGCCAAATTTCAAAAACTCTACCATGGTCACGCTGCCGCTGAAATAAGGCACGTCCAAGTTTACTGGAAACTACAATAAAATATTGTTTTGCAGATTTTTTATTTTAGCGACATCTAGTAGTATTTTATAAAATTAGTTGAAGCGTTAGTAAACGTGACTGCCAAATTGTTTCTGTATAAGTGCCATCTAGCAGGTAGCAGCTAAACTAAATGGACCGGTAGTAAACATGCTAGTTCCATTTCTATCATATAAATAACGCGGTGACTGTCTAGTTATAAAAAGTATCACTAGATACCAGTACTGAATTGCGTAAACTAAAATATATATACTTCATAGCAATTTACATATAAATGTTATTAGTATTATTTGGAAATATCTACCTATGTATTGATAATTTAAAAACAAAACTAAATTATTTCAAAAAAATCTAACTATTGCGTACTGACTATACTGTCTGATTGAATTAATATACTGGATACTCAACTGTAATTTCGCCCGTTTGAACAACTGTCAGGATGGCCGAGCGGTCTAAGGCGCCAGACTCAAGGTTTACCTTGCCTACTCAATGTGGGTCGAGCTGTTCTGGTCCTCTCTGAGGGCGTGGGTTCGAATCCCACTTCTGACAATAATTTTGCTAATCAGCCATTTTTTCTATTTTTATTTCATAACAACCGTATTAGAAACAGTATTAATCAAAAATTTAGCAAACGACACCGGTCTTCTAAAAGGCATTATGTGCAGTTCATCCATCCATGCATCCAACATCTAAAAGTCTCATCTGTTACAATATTAATTTATTAGAATACCTACTGCGCGCAATCACTGGTTGCAATAATTATTAAGCAAAAGCAATAATGTTTTATTGCGAAAATATAATAAAAATACAATTATGTTCAAAATAAAAAACATCCATTCCCGTACCGGGAATCGAACCCGAGCCTCCTGGGTGAAAGCCAGGTATCCTAGCCACTAGACCATACGGGAGATGACAAACATGACGAAACGAAGATATTGTTGTTGCAATATTTAGACACGATATTATTTTGTTTCTTTTTAGGTTTTTTCTTGTTACTTTTGCATTTTTACTATAAAATGAACAATAATTTTTCATTAATGAATAAAATCTATTGTAAACGAGAAATTAATTTTAATTTCATTGAATTTGAATAAATTTATGTTATTTTCTCATTTACATAATAATTGGCAATAACTGTGGCACTGCAAATCGTCGCCTTACTTTCTCAAACTCTTACCTTAAAGAGCACAAAGTCAGTGAAAAGCAAAAAATGGATTGTATATACAATATTTGCAAACTGATTTATGTGAACATCAAATTTGCTTCATATTCACACACACTGGCTTTAACCTACTCTTAAAGTAATGCATCAAAATTTACACCCTTGATAAAAAATTTAAAATAAATAGCAAGTCTTGCCATCTCCTGAATGATCACCCTTTATAAGATACGAGTTTGAGAAAGTAAGGCATCGAAATGTTGTATGTACTATGCAATAAATTGTAATAATGTTCGATAACTTGAAAATTTATATTGATAGTAGGTAGATAATATACCTAGCCATTAGGCTCTTCATAAATCATTTAACACAAATTACACTAAATACAAAATTACTGTAAACAGACCATTTGGCCAGATTTCACCACTTTAGCTCCTTGGTTAACTAACTAAATACATTTTAAGTGCCTATCGTTGTTATTCTAGAAATTTGACGGATACATACGGATACAGACGTATTACAATTTTACAATGTAGGTATCGAAGACTTTACATTCTCTTTAAACACGTTTTCCTTTTTAGTATCAAAACCAATTGTTTATAGTTTTAGTATATATTTTAAATGTTCATAGTTAGGCAGCCAATCCTCCAGTACAAGATCCACTCCTCTCTCTCCAACCATGAGAGCAGGTGCATTCGTATTCCCCCGAGGTACAACAGGCATTATGGAAGCATCTATAACTCTCAGACCAGATATGCCGTACACCCTCAATCTAGGGTCTACGACAGCTGTTTCGTCCCACTCCGGGCCCATTTTGCAAGTTCCTACAGGATGGTATGGACTTGACGTGTAAGATCTTGCTAAGCACTCAGTGTACTCGTCAGTACCCCAAGTCAGATACCGGCAAGGTGGCAAAGGAACCTTTACAAAATGGGCACCTCTTTTTTTAAACTCTTCAGTGTTTTCCAAACTTATCAAAAACCGCACTCCTATGATTAGAGGTATCAAATCTTCAGGGTTGCCGAAGTAATCAGGTTGCATAATAGGAGCCGCGTTTGGATCAGTTAAATTTAATGTTAACCGACCTCGACTTTTAGGCACAAGGTTCATTGTCCTTGGTAGTATGGCGTTGTAGAACGCTGAGGGCCAAATTGATGTTCTCTCAGCCAACGGTAGGTCTTGGAGAGCTTCCTCCAACAAGCAGGGGTCTGCCTGATATTGTATATCAGGCGCTGGCAATTCAGGGTTACTTTTGAGGAAAGAGACAGAGCAGGTAGGCCCGTCGCCTGATATTGGTCCACTTTTCAGTTCCATATCGTGGTAACGTTTAACATGTTCCAATATTTCTTCATTACTTACTGTGGTGGCAGTTTTGTTAGGCAAAGCAATTATTATACCGTTAAATGTTACATGATCGTGAAGATTGTACCCAACGTGAAGATCGACTACAACCGGTATATGTAACTCTTCTAAATGTTCTTTGGGTCCTATACCAGAAAGCATTAATAGTTTGGGGGAGTTAATAGCTCCTGCGCTTACAACAATGTCTTTCTGTGCTAAAGCTGTATGTAACTTTCCATCTCTTACATATTGAACACCGTAGGCTCTCTTGTGCTGATCGACAAGGATTTTGACTGCTTCGGAGTTAGGTCTTACAGTTAGATTCCTCCGTTTGTATCTAATGGGCTGTATGAAAGCTGTGTTGGATGATACTCTCTTGCCGTCTTCAGAGAATGATTGTGATTGCATTGTGCCCTGTTGCTGAGCTCCATTCCAATCCAAAATGGGCAGACCACGTTCGTTGTTAGCTTCCGTCAGCATTATTGAAGGTTGGTCGATAAAGGGATATCGAGAGACGGCTTGTTCACCTTTAGCTCCATGGTACTTGCGATCCAATCTCTCCATGTTCATATTGGATTCGGATTTCTTAAAATATGGTAAAACCTGAATGGATAACAATTATGTTTATGTTAGAAAAAAAAAATTACAGTAAAATAGTAAACTTGACTGCCTCTGGCATTGCCCTAACTATATATATATATACTTACATCTTTATAACTCCATCCTTTATTACCCATAGCCGCCCAGGTGTCATAGTCCAATTTGTTACCTCTCACGTATGCCATAGAATTAATTGAACTGGATCCACCCATCACTTTACCTCTACGAAAAAACATACAATATTACTTCTTTGCATCACCTGAACAGGCAAAGACTGCAAATATCTATGAGCTATGATCCTAGCGTTCGCCATATTTTATGTAAACTCTCGAGTTATTTGCTTATTCAACAGAGCCATTATCATTATTTCGAAACACAAAAAGAAGTGTAAAATTCTTCACCTAGGCCAACTACATCTGTGCCCAGGATATGCCAAGCAACTCTTTCCATTAGGTTCCGTGTAATAATTCCAGTCAATGTTAGACGCGCGCAAAGCCCTAGTCAGCGCCGGAGCCAATGTTACATCCGGCTCTTCCGGCCCCGCTTCCAGTAGCAAGACCTGAAAAATTACTGAAATGTACGTACCTATATTTGTATATTTTGATCGATTAAAAGGAACTAACACTAAGTAACAAGCACATACCTTCCAATGATCGACATCAGTCAGTCGATTGGTGACTACGCATCCCGCAGTTCCCGCTCCGACCACTATGAAGTCGTATACTTCTTCTCTATGAGGCCCATCGTCATAGATGCCTAACTGTTTCTGGATCCGTAAGTCCTTGGACCTAAACACAGGTGTAAAACATGGATATTTTGAATACAGAAAACAGTTGCGACAAATAGTATGGCTCTATTAACATTGCCACAAGATTGGAAATTGAAACTACTTTGAAACGTTTTTTTTAAGATACAACATGTCGTGCTTGTGGTAAGCGACTCGCTTGTCCATAGCAGTTGCAGTGCCCCTCAGACATAAATCGCAAAGACCTGAGGGACACTGCCACTGTGGCCGTCACCCTGAGGCATAAGTTGACAATCCATGTGCCTGTAATTTCACCAGCACCCCTACCCTTCAAAACCGGAACGCGTTAATGGTCATTTTCACACATTACTGCTAGGCATCAGAAATAGATAAGTATTTCCCTGGACGAACTAATTGACAAGAGCTCTACTGCCACCAGTTATACGTAGCGTAATGAATAACGTACAAGTAGATACGATACGGTAACTGCTCTGGATACTACACGAGAAGTCTCTGGAAGACTGTATCTGGTTTGTACATTACACAATTGACATAAAGCTCATTGTATTACGTTTACAAAAATTTGCTTCCTTTCGTTTTCTCGGCAATGAGTTGAGGAACTTGTAAGGAACGAGTTTCTAGTAAAGAATTTAAGTATAGTTACCCGGCGAAAAGTTGCACGAGCAAGTTGAGATACACGTATCCGAGATGCGAGCAGGCTGAGACCGGCGCGTGTGGTGGGCAAACTTCAGACAAGTTCAGCGGCTGCCAGATTTTCTGCATCGTGCTGGAAAAATTTACAATAAACACACGAAGCCCAGCCAGTGACACCCATCCTCACAGCCCTGAATTTTTTTTCTTTTCATAGCTAGCTAGCTACAAGTCCCCCAATCTGTATTTGACCATGAACTATAGCCAACCCTTTGCGCGCCCAGCAACAGGACCTAATACTTCAGAAACTTTGTTAACTTGTTGGCATAGGCATAACAACTCACGAAAGTTTCGCTATCGAACAATGTAGGTAATGCGTATAAATAGCAATGCAACGCAGCATAAACTTTCAAACACTGAAACACATTCATTTACTAAATAAAGCAAAACTCTACTACCTCATCTTTTTAATTTATCATCAAAGTATTTACGTATATATTTATTTACGTATTTCACTTTCTGACATACCAAATTCTACATATATTATATGAAAAGTAGGTTCATTGATTGAACTTGTGTGATACTCATTTTTTAATGCATTAAAAACTCAACTCACATGAAATAAATCTAAATGTTTTTAAGTATTGTATACACTAAAAATACAACATGTGGTGTCTACACCTACACCACTTTAACTAAGTACTAACCGACAGAGTATGATGATATAAATACTTAATAATTGATACCCAATTGAATTGATTGCACGTTTTGTAATTATATTTGAGGCTATCAGTGAAAAAGCGGTATAAACCCCATGAAATACGTTTTGTAGAAGACAATGACGGATTTGAAATTAGTCAAATTCATTTTATATACCTATAGTAATAAAATATAATTATTTTTTATTACATGAAAATTCCAAATGTAAAATAATTATTACTTTAGTGTCATTTAAAGTAATATTGTAGAAAAAAAATTAATGTGGGTTACGCCACTTTGGCGCTGATAGACACGTACTAAATCAAGGATCATATTCAGTGCAGAATACGCAATTTAGAATGTGGAACGGACATCCACTGACCACTAAAAGGTTTATGTATAATGAAAATCAATTTTATTTTATGAATTATATAATATGGTATTTTATGAAAAATAAATTAATTCAATTATTCTAATTATCAAAACTATTATATAATAAAATTAATCATAAAAAAATAATAGACAAAACTTTCGCAGCCGGTAGGATTCGAACCTACGCTCCCAGAGGGAATCTGATTTCGAGTCAGACGCCTTAACCACTCGGCCACGACTGCTACTCTCTATAGCGGCGAATTAGCGTTATGGTTTCTACGAGCAATACTAAAATGAAAATAATTGTTATTAGAAGTTTATTATTATTTTATGAAATGCCCGCCATTACTTTTTTAAAATAACTTTATTTTATTCTATTTTTTAAATTATATTAATGATCAAATGAAATATAAAAATAACCAAGCAAAAACACCGAAAAATAAAATGATGATTTTGTTTCCGCATAAAATATTAAGTCCTTATAAGTATAAATAAATAAAAATCAACCAGTTGTTTAGTGTCCAAAAGTAAAGATTCAAACCAAACAGCTAGAAATCAAAAGAATTTACGAAGAAAAAAACTGAAAGTTTGTTGAGAAAGAACTGAAAGATTGTTGTTTACATAAGAAAGAACAAGGTTACTTTCATTGAAACAGTATTACAAAAAAAAGTAAAAAGACTTATTAGGGGACACCCGGGTTTGAACCGGGGACCTCTCGATCTGCAGTCGAATGCTCTACCACTGAGCTATATCCCCGCTGACTTATAACGTAAAATTGCTATTCAGTTTCTTAGTACCTACCGAAATATAATTTTATTAAAAATTTATTATCAGCACGAAGTGTACAAAGTATGTACTCCGTGCCATTTAGTAATTACTAATTACATAATATTTCAGGCACTTGGATTCACTTGAGCGTCTAGTTTTCTCAAATGTTAGAATCGAGACCGGACGGCGCGAGTGGTGTTTTTTATGTTTAATTTACTATAGAATATGCTATTTACTGTGTACCATTCATTTTGTGACCAATATAACACAGCGATTACACTCTCTTTTTGACCAATATTACAAATTAGCATAGTAGATTGCACAGGGTTTATGAATATATGTATTATAATGCTTACTAACTTTATATATTATTAGTGTATATTATTAGTCTGTTTGAAGGTAAAATCACATAAGTGACATTTTAAACAAACAGTCTTTAATTTATATAGGCACGGTAAGAAAATCACTATCTTTCTTCACGTGAAACTCAATAACAAACAACCTGTAACCTTAATAAGAGTTTTATCTGCAGAAAGATTTACTTACAACAGGTACATAATTTAGATTTTTTGTGGAAAATGTCACTTACGTGGTTTTACCTTTAAGCAGACGATATGTAACATAATTTATGTAATAATAATATGTGTGGCATTCTACACGAAACGGTTTACATAAAAATATACCTACGGCCTTAGATTGCCTATATTACCGAGCATTTAAAAAACTAATATAAACAAATACGTTAAAAAGATGTCGTGAAATAAACAATATTTAATGGACAAAAAATTGCCCGCCCCCGGGTGGGCTCGAACCACCAACCTTTCGGTTAACAGCCGAACGCGCTAGCCGATTGCGCCACGGAGGCGATAGGAACACTTTTGAAATTACGATATACATCTACAAGAGCGCTTGTATGTATAGAAATGTGATTTAGACTAACTAAAAGACGAACTCAGCTTCAGCTTATTTGTCCAATAATTAATTATAGTTCTCGGATTATCAGGCAAATAATTTCCTGAAAATGGCACTTTTGTTTATATTAGATAAAATTTGCCGTATAAAAGATAACAAATGTTCAACCTGAGTCTGAGTATAGGTACTTATGTTGATGATAAAAAAATCATAGTCCATTTTTTTACTACTACAAACTATTTTTTCGGATTTAAATCTCTATTTGCTTTTTCAAACAAACTGATGTTTTGGGCCCTTTACAGGTTGTTACGTATTTTGCATAATGGAAGAAAAGGAGCAACATATACAAAATTATTTAGCACGTCTTAACAACACCCATAACAAAATGAAGTTCACTTGTGAAATTGAGAAAAATCGCGCGCTTGCATTTTTGGATGTATCGGTCAAAGTCTGACAAGACGGTTCACTCGGTCATTCTGTGTACAGAAAAGCAACTCACACGGACAAATATTTACATGCCACTTCACATCATCACCCAAAACACCTACATTCGGTCGTCAAGTTATTAACCAATAGAGCTTATGATCTTTGTGATGCACACCACCTACCACAGGAACAGGAGCACGTTAAGACGGTTTTGCGACAGGATGGATACAAAATGGAAACATTTAAACCAACGCACAAAAGGAAGAAGTACGTGTCGTGTAAGTGACGTACAGAGACTACCAGTTTTTCTGCCCTAGTTTACAAGGGGTGACAGATAAAATAGCCAGGTTGCTAAGGAAGTTTTCCATAAAAACTATTTTCATCCCCTTAACCAAAATAGGAAATGTGTTACGTTCACCAAAAGACCACCTTCCTTTACAAACACCGGGTGTCTATAAAGTGAAATGCAGTTGTGGGAGCTCGTATATCGGTCAGACTAAACAAACAATTGTCGATCGTATGAACGAACACATCCGAGCAGTAAAAAACAATGATGCACAGAAGTCGGCTATAGCACAACATCTCACACAGACTGATACTAACCACTGGATCGAGTTGCAGAGCCCCCAGGAACTCTCGACAGAACGTCACTACATACCACGGTTGGTACGAGAAGCCACCGAGATCACGAAGGACAAAACATTTAACCGTGATGATGGTTTTAAACTGTCCAGTGCAGGGAATCCGGTCCTTAGCGCGTACAGTAATAAAAACAAAAACACCTGGAGTTCAGTTTCGCGTGTGGATACAGTGAGTGTGGTTTGTGTGAAAAAAGTGAGTGACAATGGTAACGCCACAACAAATCGCCAAGAAGGTAGTCGTCGACAGCGCAAGAGGGTAGACAGATATGTCTGCTCTTAAAGCTGTCATCTGCCGCCGTCCAGTCAACCCGTGACCATGGAGCGTGCAACCGTTCCGAATTATCGGGAAAATAAAAAGAAGTCATACCGTGGTAAGAAACCTGACATTAGGGACAATCACTTAGATTCAGCTTAGTTGAATTTTGATTGAGAGGCTTCATATGTATTGAGGGAACTCATCAAATAATCAATGAGTCAGCCAGCACTCACAGCGTTTAATCACTATCAAAAATGGTTTTTTACTCATCGAAACATCTTTCAGTTCAAGATTAGATTTTGCATTACTCATTCTATCTTAAATTATTTTAGAAAGACGTAATATACATAACGAACCTTTTGCAATAATAAATGCCGAGGCCAGTTTATTGAAATTCTTCAAACAAAAACGCGACCTGAATATTCTGCCCTCGTAACGAAAAAAGGCACAACTATTCGTACCTTATACAGCAGTTGGGCCTTTTTTCGTTATGAGGCAGTAGTGAGGCTTCAGTTTTCATAGAATAGGACACATAGGAAGAGACTTCAATGGACATTCGAAGTTTAATACAAATCAAACAAGTTCCTGCCAAATAAGTCGTCAGAGTCCCCGCCAATGACACCATTATACAATTCATAGCATATTAAAGAAAGAAATTTGAAGTCTAACCATTTTCATAATTAAACCTCATAAATCGAGCAGTAAATACATATATGAGAATGTATATTTGTAAATTTCTAGAAAAGAGATCATTGCTCAACTCAACTCTTACAAATTAGTTATACTTTCTGGAATGGATCTAAAGGAAATTTTACAAAAAATAAAAGTTTTGATTGTCCAAGATTTCTCAGCTGAGTGAATATTTCTCGTCACTTCATACAAACGCAAGAAAGGAGAATTGTTAAATCAAGTTTGAGTTTAACATCTTGAACGAAAATCTGGTCATTCAAGTAGACCAGTACGAGCACAAAAATCATTAAATTACATCCCAACTGTTCCTTACTAGATGGAGCACCTATCAAGTCAAAATTTGGAAAACTTGTGAAAAGACTCGGTAAATCAATTAAAATATTCTTCCTCGCAACTTTTTACACTAGTTTATTATAACATTATATTCAGTCTTATTACTTCGGAGACAAAAAATTTGGAAATTCAAAGTAATACAATAAACTTAATACTTATATATTATATAAGTATATTACTTTGTTAAAGCTATGGTACGTATCATCCGGTTAAGTGAGTTACTTGATTGAATGTCTATGTTGTATCCATAGATATGAAAATATATCTATGGTTGTATCAGAGAGTGCAACTAGTTCATACTTCGATAATACCCATAATACGAATGGTAACAAAGAGCATCTTTGGTTATTGAGGACGTTAAATGTGAAATTTCCTCTTTTGTAACTTATTTCTCTAATAACTCCAACGCAATAGGGTTTATTTCGCCAACTAAAACAGAGCACCAAAATAGCCGTTTGGGTACTGAACTGATGTTGCCCATCTTCATGACCACATACAGAGCGTTAACAATCATGGCCATCACAATGTGACACCTCCGGAGTGTGACAAAACAACTAAAAATTTCCTTCCAAAAACTTTTGTAACCTTTTACTTCAGTATCTTAAATAGTTTTTTGTTATTCTTGTTTCCAAAAGGCAACAACCTTCTTATGATACAGTTATCTTATCAAGTAAACCAAATGCAAATTAAAGGAAAACATAATTTTAGGTTGCATTTCCTTTAAACGTGTACCAGTCAGTTACTGTACAGTTAACAGTTCTTGACTGTGACACCCATCTAAGTACATAAGGATTTATTTACTTATAAAAGCAAAGTAAGTTAATTTAATGCCTTTTATATAAAAAAATATTTGTATCAATTCGTACAAATTTGCCACAATTCGTTACAATGGTGTTATTGTACACATTATTCAAATGTATATATTCGCCATACTTTGTATAGTAGACTTAGGTACAATCAACCATAAAACTGCAGCCTGGTTTATTCCAGAAGCTGACCAAACAATATCTGTTTAGGTCTTTATTTCAAAATATTAAAACTTTTCTCTTTGACTGTGTCTATTACAAGCGAATGATAAAGTGTGGCGAATACGGACGTGATAAATCAAGATCGATTTGCGTATATTCGAAGTGTGAAGACTTGGGTGTCTTTATATGAAATAGGATTTCTTTGCCAATTCTAACAAATCGGCCTTGGCTTCAACGAATTCGAGACTCTCTTTATGGAATAATATAAACAGCATGCTTTAAGGAGGATTTTTTGTCAGTTTTTCTGCCTTTGGTGGAAATAAAACATAAAATTTCAATTTCTTCCTTCTATAAGACATCCTACAATATTTTAAAATAACTCTAATTTGGTGACTTTTCAGCTCCAACACGAGAATCAAAGACAAAGAAATTACTATTGAACAATGTGGCAACCGGGGAACTTGCACAATTTTTGCCCTGATAGCAACCTTACCGCTTGCTCAGCATTTTCTAATATCTATCTGTATTTGCTTGTTCAGGTAAGAGTTAACTATTGTCATGGTTAAGTAGTACTAATAACTTTCGTTTATGTGATTTTTGGTATTTGTTTTTACACAGCTATTTGGTGGCAGTAAACCCCATAGGAAGGAGCGTGCTGTCGAGGAATATGACTTTATTGTAGTTGGAGCTGGTTCAGCTGGGTGCGTGGTTGCTAACAGACTTACTGAGGTTCGGGAGTGGAAGGTAAACGATTGATTTATTTCAATAAAGTTTAAATCAATAATTATATTACTACTTTTTACCTTTAGTGACTATCATAAACCTAAAATGTGCATATAAGCAGCGTTCTTATGTGTTAAATTATAAAGTTGGCCAGTCTGTCTATAATTTTACTGCGCCAACATCTCGTCTGTACAATCAGCTCCTAAAGCTCCCCCAATTTTCCTGCAGGTGTTGCTTCTAGAGGCAGGTCCAGAAGAGCCTTTTATTACGGCGCCTCTGGGTGCAGCTTCCGTTCTCCTAGGCTCCAATATTGACTACAAGTATTCTACGCAGCCAAATGAAAACAGCTGCCTCGTCCAAGGACGATGTTCTTGGCCCAGGTATGATTGTCATTATTTAAAAATTAATGAATTTATAACGTGACCGCTTACGATGCTTGAATGATGATAAACTATTATAGATTTGGATTTGGATTTGGTTCTGAGCACCTCTGAGTACAAGGTGGTTGAGAATGTGTACTGGGGTAGTAGTAGTAGCAGAGACCTTCTTATGAAAGAGTTCGTTCAGGAAAGTACTGCCACCTTATCTATTTCTGCCGCCATGCAATAATTTGAGCATTACTGCGTTTCGGTTTGAAGGGTCCTGGCGAAATTACAGACACATGGGACTTGTCAACTGAGAGTGACAGGCGTAGTGTCAGTGCCCCTCATACTTTTGTGATATAAAGCTCTGAGTGGCACTGCAACTGTTATGGACAGGCGTGTAGCTTACCACCAGGCACACTTATATTACACTTTACATTTCGTGCACGTATGTTCGTCACATCACTTGATATTGTAAACAAAAAGGTTTATGAGTTCCAAGCGACTTTTTCATTATAGGGGTAAAGTGATGGGGGGGTCCAGCGCAATCAACTCGATGCTTTACATAAGAGGACATCGAATGGATTACGATGAATGGGCTGCTTTGGGGAACAAAGGGTGGAGCTACGAAGAGGTATTTGCTGAATATTATTATATTGCAATTTTTAATAGTAACTTAATGTCCAAAGCAGGAAATGTAAAGATCTTCTATGATAGTACTTAACTTAAAACCAGCCATTAAACAGTATTAAAAATCGATTGAAAATCCCATGTTACCCATAAATAGCCAAGTTACAAAATACAATACAGTTAATGTAAGGGAATTATAATATATAAGAATACTTTTTAGTCTTTAGATTTAAATGAAAATTTTTCGCTATTTCTATTTCAGGTGTTACCCTATTTTAAGAAATCTGAACACAATCTTAACATCAGACGTCTTAACAACTGCTACCATTCTAGTGATGGCTTACAGCCAGTCTCCGACCCGGTTGTTATTGACAAACCTTCTAACTTAATAGTACAAGCATTTCTCGAATTGGGAGTACCTTATACAGATTTCAATGGCGAAAACCAAATGGGGGTATCACATGCCCAAACCACTTCTAAAGATGGTTCCAGAGTATCCACAAACTCAGCTTTTATAGAGCCCATAAGAGGCAAGAGAGATAATCTTAGTGTGCAAAGCGAATCTACAGTCATTAAAATTCTCATAAATGACAAAAATAAAGCTCATGGAGTAACATATGTTAAAAACGGTAAATTTTTTAATGTAACAGCAAAAAAAGAAGTTATAATATGTGCTGGAGCTATTGATTCTCCTAAATTACTCATGTTATCTGGTATAGGGCCGAGGAAACATCTAAAGGAAATGAATATTAAAGTAGTACATGATTTGCCTGTTGGTGAAAATTTACAAGATCATGTATCTTTTAATGGTATGGTGATTTCTTTACCAGAAAATGTAAGTACAATGGCAAACAAGGGAATGGTACTTAAAGAAATATATGACTATTTTCTACAAGGTGAACTTAAAACTGGACCATTTTCTTACGGCGGTGCATTGACAACTATGGCTTTCGTAAAAACAAATCCTAACCTGCCAGCGCCTGATGTCCAATACGACTTCGGAGGCATTATCCGGAGAGAATTCTACCAAGACGTCATAGGTTACCTTAATACTAAAGTTCTACCAGATTCGTTTTACGACTCCCTGATAGTCAAAGTTATGCCTTTGGAAAGCAAAAGCAAAGGCAAACTGATTCTTAACACATTAAATCCGTTGGGTCCACCCCTTATATTTGCAAACTATTTTAACAATTCCCGAGACATGGAAACGTTACTTAGCGGAGTCAAGTATCTTTTAAAACTGGAAAATACAAAAGTTTTCAACGACACTGGTTTATACTTTGTCAAAGAAATGTTACCGGCTTGCGAAAATTACACATGGACCGAAGCATATTTTGAATGCCTAGCTAAAAAGTACACAGTTTCCGCATACCATCCCGTAGGAACTTGCAAAATGGGCCCAAGTCATGTTAAATCGTCTGTAGTTGACCCTCGGCTGAAAGTGCACGGTGTGAAATCTCTTAGAGTAATAGATGCGTCCATAATGCCGAATGTGCCAAGAGGGAACACTAACGCTCCGACTATCATGATTGGGGAAAAAGGGGCTGATTTGATCAAGGAAGATTATCGCGCTTCGAATTATTATTAATCAATGCATAAGTCATTATACCCGCCGTGTTTTTTAAGACGTATGCTCATCGACGGCGGTATCTTGCGAACGGCATCTCACGTATCGGATTCCCGTCCAAAAGTGCACAAAACAGTATTCTAAACTACAATTTTTCGATCTTCATTTTTCATTTATTCCTATTAAATAAATGTATTCGTTAATAAATGTTACCACGCAATAAAGAGTCCAAATTTTTTTGACTGTCGAAGTACAAGCATTTTGAGCCAAATGAGATAGTTTATGTTTTATCACCTAGTCATTGGTATTGTTAGATTACTTAATAAATAAATATTATAAGTTATTGTGGAATTTTGTTGAAAGCAAAGTTTTGTTATTAAAATTGTATATGTATTGTTATTATGTATGTGTATTGTTTTTTTTATTGACTTTTTATAGCAAATATCATGAAAATATCTCTTATCTTGTTTTCACCAAAATTTCAGGCCTTCCAAATTTAGAAAATCTACACACACATATCGCAGTGAATTAAGCTATGACTTTTAACGCTACTGACACGAAACAGTTAAGACAAAATATGGCAAAGCTATATAAATACTGTTTTAAATACCTGTTAAAATCATATTAATAATATTCAGTAAAATATTTAAGTAATTTTGTAATTTCAAGTACAAAAATAAAAAAAATTGAAGTAAGTTTTCTCCAAAACCATATAAAATTGGCACACGGGAGTTTTCATCCTGCGTTTGGATGGTTAAAATGCATCACTTGATGTCCTTTTTGAGAGAAATAAAGCATTTTGTATTGTATTGTATTTGTAAGCTTCACTCAAAATGTCAACTGTAAGGATTTTAGAATACTGTGCGGCGGTGGTACCATTTTTCAGATTCGAGAACCACAGCTTCTAGTCGCGCCATAGTTTAGAAGATACAATACACTTAATATCTCTCATGTGCTAGTCTTGGAACCCATATTAATATTTTACGTAACACAGAGCCATTGTTAAACTTTTTTTAGAACTGACAATTAAGTACATACTATTAAAGATCAAGCTGTTTCAGACACAAAAAAAAATCATATATTCTCTTGAGAATGTCAGCTGCTACTATTAACTCCCGGACTATCTTTCACATCGACTGCAGTTGAACGGTCGATCACCCACGCATTAACTGCAGAAGTGCAGTTCATAATCTGTTGGCAGCCTTATAACTTTTGAATGGCGGACCGACTAAAGTCGTTGCCAAATAAAAGGCCAAATTTGACAGCTAAAGAAGGCGATAGTATGTAACTTTGAATGCGATCAACGAAACAATAAACATACTATTAGGTATTAGCCTAATCGAGTTTAATAAAAATACATAAATTTTATTGAAACATTGTATAATATGACAAAACATATTTGAAGTACTGTTTTCGCACGAATTACAATGTAAAATGCAATTTTGAGTTAGGTACTCCGAAACGTTCTGAAAACGGTTACGTCCTCAAGGTATTATTTCTTAAATAATAGTGTTGTAAGCAATTAATCGCCGAATTTGACGGAGTCACTTCAATTTCTCGGAAAAAATATTGACTTATGTAGTTGTTTTATTGATGAACATACTTATTTACACTAAATTCTCGTAACAAAACGTTTATGAATATTATAAAATCAAAAGAATTGGATACAATTAATCGGAATGTGGGACAATTTTACGAAAATAAGAGGAATTGCCACAGAATTGCAAGGAATTATGTAAATGAATTGCTTTTAACTGAATTGCAGGATTTTTCCTTTTAGGCCCCCTGAACAACAATGAACCGAAAAATAATCTAAACAATCACAAACTCTTAAAATGTTGAATCGATTTCTCGTGAAAATCGTAGAACATGATTAACGATATGATTAGTCCACGTCCCTATTCGCGTCACGATGACAAGTGTCAAATTTGGCCTCTTATTTGGTGACGACTATAAATCTAGTTTTTTGCGACTTAATAAATGGCTTTTTAACTAACTGGTCAAATTTCAAAAACTCGAGCACGGTCACATTTGAATAAAGGGATACCAAATTTTGAGGTTAAATAATTAAAGACAATTTAATGTAATAAGATTTTATTATAATTTGTCCATATTCCATAGTTTGTGTTCTTAATGTTCACATTATCAAAAGTAAAAAACCGTTGCACAGTACAATTTTTTTAAAACTTATTTTATTAAGTCCATCATATTTTTATTTCCAATTTTTATCTCTAGAACTTGACTAACTTAAATTTTACAATTAAGTAATCACATTACGATTAACACAATTTCATTGAAAAACAGTTTCAAATTCCACATACAATTTATCTATTTCAAAGTTAAATATAATATTTGGAAAAGCCTTATGGCTGACAATATTTTGACAAATTTCACAAGGGACTTAACATCCGAAAATCTTTTACCAGTTACAACGTATAGAACGTACAATTCACAACTTTGGCAATTGTTTTAAAGAAAGACAAGACTTATGAATCACTCTTAAAATTGTTACTATAACGTTCACAATCCTAACGTCAAACCGTTTTTTTTTTATTAAAATAACTTATCTACATTATATTGAATCCTAAATTTGTTGATAAAATAAAGAATAACAACAATTTTTAGAACCGAATTCTGCCAACTTCCACTAGCTCCAAAAACTTCAAATATCGAACACTAGATGGCGTTAACCACCAAAGCCGATACAAAAATGGCCGACCAGCGGCAGGACCAAAAATGGTCGAAATAAATCCTTTTTTTTTTCCTTTTTTCATGCTCAAAGTCTTCGAATTCACTTCTCAGGCAACTTGATGACTGGAGTTTGAGAATATTCCCAGTTATCACAATATTCGATAAGATCCCTTTCAGCCTCTGTCAGAACTGACAAGTCAATTTCTTGGCTGTCGGTAAAAGGATCTGTGTATGGGTAGTGAACCAAAACGCAGCTGAAGTCCACAGACTGGTTCCTGCAGCCTAGGATGGTTCGCATTTTCTCCTCTGAATCGACCTGAAGACAAAAGAAAAATGAAATTAATTAACTTTGTCGGTAAAAACATCGTTTTAGTAGTTTTACTAATTACTAGAGAAGCCTTGTTGACAAAATTCTCAAAATTTATTTTTTAGTAGTTACAATTTGTGTAGTTAATATGAAAACAATGCCTAATGAAAATTAAAGGAGATAATTACCTTAATGATATAAATGTCATTTTCCACGCAAAACGCTTGCAGTAGGACTTCTTGCATATGCGTCGCACTGTCGCCAGGTGGCGCTTCAGTTGTTAGACAGAACAGCGCCCCGTTGCAGTTGTTTGTCAGATACTGGATAGCAGGAAGTAGGCCGACAGTCAACCTCTTCTCCACACAGGCTCGCCTTAACATCGTCCTGATGTTTTGGCTCACTGGACTGTAAACAAAAAAAACCATTAGTAAAAAGATGCGATAAGTTGAAATTAACCCCCAAACTCCTCGTGCGTGACAGACGGGGATGCTCTATAGATATAAGAAAAATAAGGGACGTATGTAGGGGGATACTAACCACTACTACTACAGAGGATACTCTCAATTTGTTAAATTTATGCATAGCGTTCGATAGAGGATATAATTTTAACTAACATTTTCGAAGTTGGAAATGTTATTTATTTATTTTATTTAATCATGAATTCTACCACTTGCATACATATTTTTTTCATGGATTTAACTAATCAATTTACGAAACTACTATTTTTCGCTCAATTTCCATTATTTATGGTATTATTTTCTAATTTGTTCTCATTCATTGTTGCACAACATTATTCGACAATTACCTTTTAGCAGCAACGCCGCTGAACGTCTCCGTTTTCACAGCAACCATTTCATTCGTATACGTCATCTTCTTCAAATGAATACTCTTTAATTCGTAAATATCACTGATTTCAGGAATCTTCAACGCGTTTGGCCGAATTTTCACAGTTCTCTCACTTCTTTCCAGAAACTTTTCGCTTTGACGGCGAATTGTCACAGATAAGTCACAATCAATTGAAATACAATCCAAGTTCACAAATTGTAGCACTTCACATATAATCCTTTGGCAATCCAAACAAGTATTCCGAGTCAAGGAAAAACCGAAAGTTATGTCACAATAATTTCACAACTTTGCAAACTCAAGTCGCGTGAAGTTACTCTGAAGGCTTAGAACTGAGTGTGGCGTTAACGTTGCCCCCCTCCATTTTATAGCTGCCGCTACGTATGCGCTATGTTTGCCAGTGTGCGTGTGGCGCCCGGTCTGTGTTGAACGGAGATTCCTCGGAAATCCGCTAGTAAAATCAAATGTGTGCTCAGTTTGTAACTGTGTGCGCCACTGAAGTATATCTGTACAGACGATAATGTAATCGCGTTTGTGTGGTGAACTATTTCTCTGAATCAACAAAACTTTGCAGGTTACAACGTGTTTGGAGGTTACCTACCTATCCCATTTCTCTTGAGTTTCTTCGCATCTCGTTGCTTCGCGTTAAAGCAGGTAATTAATGTGAATTTTGGTGCCGGGTGAAGGTTTTACGCAATACAGAGAGCTGGGAGTGAAGCAGAATACTTAACATGTTTGTGTGCGGCGCGTATTATCCATTATCCGCTTGTACTTGGAAATCCCGCGCGCCGCCGGCCGTCGTCTGGGTTTTATTTTGATAAGGAAATGATTGTAGGAATTTTTGAAGCAGGTTGCATATTGCAACAACATTGTCTACGGTTCTACTAAATGGTGTACAATTCGAGTCCGGCTTCAATGGTGCTAACGACGACATTGTTGTGCTTAACTTTGCTTGTAATGCTTTTGCTTTTAATATTGCTTCACAATGGTGTTAATATATTTAGTTGAAGAAACTAAGTAAGTACTGTTTCTGTTGTGTACGATAAGTATCTACAGGAGCTCAAATAAGATATTTCCGTAGATTGTTCTTAAGATAGGTAGCACAAAGGTTTGACAATTAAAAGATGGAGATCCTGAACCAACATGAACGTGCAAAAATAAGAATCGTCGCGGCTATTTCGACTATTGTTCTACTTGGATAACAAAACGAACCAATCTTCGCGGTCAATAATGACAATAAGTTTAAGACATCTATTGTTACTCGTATTTGTTACACACAAACCATGATTCTTTGTAAAACACGTGTCATGTAAGTAAGTATGACATACAAGAGTTTAATTAATGCTGTTTATCCGAATGAAAGCGAATCCGTTTAAAACGAAATTAAATCGGTAATCGTATTTATTAAAATAAACATGGCGGTATCAGTGGTAGCCTATTTAATAGTTAAGAAATGTATTAATGTTTCTACTTGGACAGAAACATTCCAGAAACATGATCGAACAATTCATAAAAGGATAAAAGCAATGTATTTTTTATTATTCAGAACCCCTTTCCTTTGCTACTAATTTCTAGTGAATCAATGTTCGATTTTACTCTTCTACAGTAGACATTATATATATTATTTGAATTCTACAGTATGTAGAATTCAAATGATATTTCATTGACATTATCATTTGAATTGTCAATGATTTACTAAGAAGTTGAAGTGGGAAAATTTTATTGCGTTTGGAGTCTTGGTCACGTGTGTAATTGAACTCGGATCACGCATTGTTTACATTTCAAAGTCGAGCATTTTCAGTTCGATGATCGTGATACGGGCAGAAGGCATTTAATCATACTTTGGAAGCGTCTCCCTTATCTTATTCTCGTGCCGTCAATGTCATATTAACATTCAAACAATTAGGTCTCAGCAGTTAACCTTGTGGCACTCTCGTTATTAAAAATAATACGTCAACAAACCCACGAGTCGTTCCTTTAGTCCACCTAGTCCTACATTAAACTAATACGTTATTAATGATTATTCAATTTGAAATTTACGTGATCATTCTCATAATAAAATAGAAAATCTAAGAACTGCTAATTGCAGACAAACTATTCATTAGTTAATTAAGCTTAAGAATCTACAATGCTATCGATTTATAAGTTGTCAGGTTATTCCAATGCAATTAAACCGTTTTTCCAACATTATCATAAGTTTCCTAAGAATATTACGAAACTCAATTATTAACATAAATTATAAGCATAAATGGCATCAACCATATTTAGTCTGAAATACACAAACATTCGTGTGTATCACACTTATATAATTTCTCCATTGTAACGTTGGTTCTACAAAATCGGACTAGCTTTTAAGGCACGTGGCTAGCGGTTATCTTTTTCGAAGTAATTACTGAGTCATATTATACCTAATTGTTAACATTACCTTGTGAGGCGTATAATTTGTTTTTAATTTGTTGTTATCCGCAAATAAAATTTTTCTGATAGTTATAATTATTACCTTCTTCTTAATTACCTTTCAAAATGAAATAAGTGTCACTAACTTTATATTTAGCCAAACACGTAAATCAATCATGATAATCACTCAAACTAAATTCGCATATGTAGATAAAAATCACACAAACCACAGCTGATTAATTAATATGCTTATCTTTAACAATACTTTTACTTTTAGAATAGTATTTGTTTGTTATATTAATAGTTTTATTAATCACCTACGTCTATAGAGAAGTTCATGTGATCACCTCGTGTTATTCGATAATATTTAACCTGGATTTTTTCTGGTATCTTTTAAATTAAGCGATGTCAAGCGTGTTCCTGGCGTGTTACAAATTACAACATGTAGGTACTCGTAAACAAATACACAATTTTACTTATTAATTAATTTTATATAAACCAGAAAGATTGAAAAAAACTAAAGCACAAGGATGTAGTCACCGAGTTTATCACATCTTATAAAATGAAAAACTTCTACAAAATAGTATTTAAAAATTTTATAAATCGACTACTACTCCGCAAAACTTCGTTTTATCTAAGGAAGTAAGCAATTATTATTAGTTGGAAATAAAACTATTTTCTCGGATTGTTTTTTCAAACAAACCAACTTTTTGAGGTCCTTACAGGTCCCATGGTCCCATTGTCCCATGGCTGACTGAGAAAGTAATCTACCAGTTAATATCTAATATCAATGCAAATCAATCTGTAAAATCCAATTTATAGCAATCACAAATATTTAAAATACCGATAAGCGTTATTGTGAAAACTGGATTATACTTTAAACACAGCAAGTATGTTATCTATACAAATTCGCGGGAATCAAATTTTATGCATTTTATTTACCTAGTCCAAGTATTTACGTTAATTTATGCTAGTTATTTGTGCCACAAGAACACTTTCTAAATCTTTAGTGACAATATTTTGTCCACAACACAAAATTCCACAAAAGTTAACATTATAACGACCTCTTCTGTTATTTACTCCTAAACTCATTTACGTGAGCACAAACACTGAATTAATGTTATTTCTTATCACTTGTGGTAATCCATAAACCACAATGTTATGCTTAACAATTTCCACAACAAAGTAGTGACTTTCAACATTTTCTTTTATCTTCTAAATGATCAGTTTGCCGAATTGTTTTTAATTTATTGATTGTAATGATGAAACGCAGTGTAGTTGCCGTAGCATTTAATAATAAATAAATAATAACGCACACACTCAACATAGCCCCTTTTTTTTTCATTTATTAACGAATTTCATGTTTGGTCGAACAGTCTTCAATACCTGTCAGTACTTGTTCAGAGTCCGTTAAGTCTCAGGCAAGATTCTACCTGCGCTACAGACGCGGGAATTATCAGTAGCCATTATCAGTATTATGACAAGTTTAGGTTAAACTTGTAATAACACAATCCTCACTACTGGTAACAGTAGAGCTCCTTGTGAATGAGTTCGTCCAGGGAAGTACTGCCACCGGACCTGTTTCTGCCGCCAAGCAGTAATGTGAACATAAGTGCGTTCCGGTTTGGAACGGTAAGGGTGCTGATGAAATTATAAGCATGTGGGACTTGTTAACTTATGGCTGAGGAGACGGGCGCAATGGCGGTGCCCCCGAGATCTTAAAAATCTCAGCGAGATGCCTAAGCATTTAGTACTTGTTGCCGACGCAGGGCTAGACGAAACCGAGCCTCTACATTCTCGCTTTGGACAGTTATACATAAACGCACTACAATATGGACTTCTTGAAATTATCTGCTGCTGTAGTGTATCCTGAATATCATGAGAGGTCTTCTAGCTTTTTAAGTCTTTAATTGGTATGGCCATTATTTCTTTATCTTATTGTTTTTGTTATTTTAACATGCGTTCGAAATTTTTCAAGAACCACTACATCAGTTGGTGCCTATTGTGTCTTTATTACGTTCAAAGGTTGTTCCGACTTTTGTACAATGTGGTCTTAACACTTGTGTAGGACGGAATAAGGTCATCGGAACCGTTATTCTTTAACTCCCTAGTCCGCAATTCAAAAATTTGTATAAAGTTCATCGTACGTAGTTGCGTTGCAGCGGTCATTTTGGCAACTAATTAATCTTTATTAATAATTCGCATTTTACTTTACTTATTCTTTTATTTCAATGCCGGCCGACTAACTGGAGCGAGTGTGGAAGTATAGTTTTGCGGCAACACGAAACTAGTCGAGAAATCTTTGAACTTTTGACTTTTACCGACAAGAAATGGATGCCTCCATACTACATATTAGAACATAGACGAATCCTCTACACTCTCGTATTCGGCGAGCCTCGTGTATTTTTGCCGAGAATATAGAGCTGCTTAAAACAAGAACAAAATATGCATTTTTACAATGTATCAATCACAAAATCCCGTGTCGGGAGTGGGTCTGTCCTCGTGTACGAACTAGTTTAAGCGCGTTTCTGTGTATACAAGGCTTATCTGAATCGCCCTTGACTCATCAGCGGCAGCGTCGTAGGTGTTCGACGAACTGCAATCGATATTCCACGAGCATGTCAAAGGTTACGAACCTTGTGGAATTGATAATCACTACCGAGCAGCAACATGTGTACGGAGAAACTGTTTAGTTGTGGGAAATAGTTGTTAGAAAGAAAGGTGCGAGTATCACTTGATGACCTTTATGTCTCAGCGGTTAACACCGTGGACGTGGGTTTTGATTCCCCGTAGGACCAATTAGGGAAATAAGTTTTTATGAATTGTTGCTGGTCTGTTTGGTTACCTCCGGTGTTAAAATGTGTACAAAGAATGTTTAGTTTGGATCAAGCTGTTGTTATAGTTGTCTATTACATTTATGGATATATTATTTGCGGAAGACCCATGCTCAGCAGCAGACGTCACTGTCACTGAGCATGGGTCTTCATGTTTGTTCATGTTGATGCAAGTGTAGCAAATGTCCTGATAAACAAATATTGACGGGTGCCAGCGTACTATCGCGTATTACTAACGATTTTCCTCAAGCCATCTCGCCGGATTGAAGAATCATAATAATCATAATGTTAAATACATTGTATTCCCAACAGGTAAAATGCACGAATAATAACAAACTGTGGGTTTTTGATATTTACATTTTTTCCATATTCAAATTAGCTTACCTACTTAACGATATTGCAAATTATAATCTGAGTCGGTTT